TATTATATTGTTATTAATGTCAACATTTTTTCTGACAAGCTATGTAGTGAATTTAGCAAAACAAATGGACCAATCACGGAGCGGTATCTAATGCAGTGCGTTCCCTCGACGAAGTGTTACTTAAGTGTCGTTTATGAATCAGAAGGCTTGCCAAAACGAACGCACTGAGAAATGTTGTTCTTTGCACAGTGTTAGTAGTACGCACAGCCAAGTATTGTTTGTGAATACGGGTGTATGAGTTATGACAAACAGATATTAATGCACCACCAGAAAACTGCAATTTCTAAATAAAATAAAATTTATAATCTATTCCGGCCTACAATCTGAAGTAAAAACTAATTGATAATCCAGACCCCAACCCTTCGGGAGTATAATAAGCTAGGGGAGATGCTTCTTGTCTATAATCTATCTGTTCTTAAACTACACAAATAGTGAAAAACTGAGGTTTATTTAGCGTTTATTATATAAAAATAGTTTTAAGTTTGATTTTGCATTGTTAAACGTTTAATTAAAAAATTAAAACATTCGCATTTATAACAAGCAGTCAATGTAATAGAATACGTACATCATCCGATGTGTTCCTTGGTTCGTTGAAGAGCGTGTCGCGGTCCCAGTGCGGCGGCAGCACGCCGTGGTCCAGGTACTGCAGCGCGGCCTGCACGCCGCCCCACTCCGACGGCGCACTGCCGCGCCGGAACTCGCGCGTCTCCTTCTTTGGCACTGTGTAACTGCCGAAAGGATTACAATCACTCACGGACAAACATTCAAACATTTTATTATTCCCAGTGTCATAAATCATAAGGTTAAAAGCACTAAATTCCATTAATATTTTCATGTTTATAATCCAGTGCTTACAAAGCCAAGCGTTTGAGATTTGTTATAGAATACTTCCGGTCAGAGATGCAAAATATTCACTAGACTGTGACTTGGTGGCCTAAGTATTTAATGTGAGAGGAAATTGCACATAATTTAACATAATGCAATAAACAAATAGCTCCAGAAAATACTCATATAATAAATGCGAAAGTTTAGATGGATGGATATAGGGACGGATTAATGGCCGGATGTTTGTTAAACTTTGTAGCCTATACTGCTGAACGAATTTCGATGAAATTTGGCCTAGATGTAGAACACAGTAGCGGCTTACTTTTTTTAATTCCACACAGCGGGCGTCGCGTGCGAAAGGTGGTTAATTTATATGATTTTGAAAAAAAATGGCCAACCTATGCAGAAGTTGTTTTCATAATATGGCAAACATGAACCATAGATATTAAAGAAGACTTACTATCGTCCATCTTTGAAGGAGCGCACTTGGTAGTCCTCTTTAACTTTGATCTGCGCGGTGGGCGCAACCACGAGCGCGGGGAAGGCGGGCTGGTGCGGGCGGCGGCGCTCCGTGCCGCTCGTGATGTCCACGAACACGACGCGCCCCACGTGCGGCTCGCTGTCCGCCTTCACGCGCCGCGCCACGCCCTCTCCCTCACTCTCATCAGATCTGATAAGGACAACACACTCTCCTATGTGTGTCTACTCTATACTACTTTCTTATTTATATCTATGCACATAATGAAATTGGAGTGATTGTTTCTAATATCAAAAAAAAAAAAACCAGTTTTCGGAAAGATGCTACATTTGCGTTGCTGATAAAGAAAAGAGCACTAAAAAAATGTTCGTCTGTCTGTCTGCAAGTCGCGTTTGTTCCGGGTAATCTCCGAAATGGTTGGGACAATTTCGATGATACTTTCACTGGAGGGTAGCTGACATGGATAGGCACATTATTATTACTTTGTTTTAAATTCTGCGTTGTGGAAATAGCGTAACGGGTGATTCAAATTTGCGCTAACGAAGTTTGCGGACGACAGCTTGTAATACATAAGAATCTTATATTAGGAGAATCAATGACAAAATTACTTTACAGAACTAAAATTTTCAACAATTACTTGGTAAATTAATACAGAAGAAATATAGTATAATATGACTTACTGAGCTCTCCCTCTTCTCCCTCGCCTGCCAGCTATCACAGGTGTAGAGAAGTGCTCTGGATGTGTGAGTGGCAGTTGATCTAATGTCTCACTTTCATTAAAATGTCTCCCACTTTTGAGGCACAGCGCCGACCGACGTAATGTTGTTATGTCACCATCATCAAACACTAAAGTATGGCAAAAAAAATATAACAGTTTGTGTATGGTAGGTCACATAACTTAAGACCAATACAATCATATTGACTACTGAATCAATTACAACAGAAGCAAGGGAACTTTTATGAAGTGACATTTCAAAGTTAAATGAAGAGATGTATAGACAAATTAATTTTATTAAATCAATGTTATAAAGTAAAATAAAGTGTACAAAGTCCGAAAAGACATTACATAATTTTAATAGGAGATTTGTCTGTATTTTTTTATCATCCTCATCTTCCTCTATACACTACTGAAGTATGGTTGGCACAAAAGGTTTTGTCCTCTACATAACTCTATCATACATCATCTGAGTCATCACTCTCTTCATCATGTCTCTTTTCACACATATTTTTCATAATCATCAATATTACAAAGTCTAACACAAACAAATTACATTCTTCTGAAAGTGTTTTCAGTAAGGCATTGGTGGTACTGAAAGTGTTGAATTTCTGATACATACCCACAGTATACTGACTGCAGTCTTGTATTTTTGTTATAACAGCTTCTGTTGCATCCTTTTTGGGATCTTGCTTCACTTCAACAGTGCTGCCAACACGCAGGGTACCTTTGATCACATCATCATTCACTGTGACCGCACCACCACCTTTTAATGTCACCTGTAATCATAAATAATAATGGAATAATGAAATATGAGACATTTAAAATCTTTAAGACCTTAGGTACATATAACAAATTAGAACCTATTAAGAATAATAATAAAACAATATTTTGAATTACTTAAAAGTTGTCTACAATGCTGTAAAGATTGTTCAACATCCTAATTTGTGCAAACATTATAAAAAAGTACACTATAGTTTTATCATTATTTTATCATTAACACTATATATTTATAATGTGAAAGGAATATATCTTTAACACTTAACTAATATCAATGGTGTTATTTTTATAACTGTTTTTGATGATGGATTGTCATTAAAAATCATGAATATCATAGAATACATAGCAGTTCATTTACACAAATTATAAGGTACTTTTAATACATAACAATGGTTTAAATTTATACATACCTTGCATTTTATGTTACGCACAACTTTCTTGATTTTAGCTTCACAAAAGGCACCCTTATATTTGGCGCTGACATCCGTCCCGACCGTCAAGAAAGGGGGATCATCACCCTGCTGGAAAAACAAAGAACAGTCAGCAGACAATACAATTTTAGTAACATATCTTATAATACAAATTGGTAAAGATTATTTACCATATTGGGCGTGGTAATCTTGGCCCAGAAATTACGCTGTTAACATCCACTTCCTGAAAATTAGGACAAACTACAAAAACGTTAAATATTTACGTATATTACTACACATAAAACATTAATCATTTAAAGTGAACAAAAGTATGAGCACGTCAGTCAAGTTACTTCGATATTTTTGATAATTGAGAAAACTTCTATTAGGAGTGTTGTGTTACAGTTTAAATAACCCAGAAATTAAGAAATCTATTGGAATTTATCCAAATAAACTAAATGGATTGTTAGTTGTTTTGACTGCGCGGCAAACCCAATATTGTTTGATTAACAACCTGGTAAGTATATTTAGGTGGATCCACAAAACAAGCTATCACAAAAGTCGAGTAAGCTGAATTTCATCTTATTCTTTAATAAGTAAGATAGTCATAAATGTATAAAAGTACAGAACAAAACGAATCACGTACACACCAACACCATCTTCGAAACAATGACATTTTATCTCAATGTTGCCCCTACTTTATTTTGTTTATTTTAGTTGTTGGCAACAATAAAAGCATCCATCTGCATCCAACTTCCATCCAAAACTAAAAAAAAATTTAGTTTCATACAAATATGCTTTTATTAATTAAAGCTCAGAGGGCTAGTATTTTAAAGTAAAATAGTAAACTCTTCGCTCACTAGGTATCGGTTATAAAATAGGACTTTGTTTATATGTATTAACGTCATGGCTTTTATTACATTTTTATTTACAAAGTTGTGCTCTATTTATCAGATGCCTTGATTTATATTTATTTTTTATTTATCATGGATTCAATTTTTTGTCACTTGAGTGTCAGCTGCACTTCCATATTGTCATTTGTTGTGATTGGCATTCCGTATTTGTTATCTACATGAATGACACTAATGAACATTGAACACGTCAAAATTAGTTTTTTGATTCAGCGACTAAAACTAAAAGATGTTTTGAAAATGTATTTGTTGACAATTATATTGTTTTGGAGTGCTTAGAAAACCTAAGATAGATCCTATGAAAATTTTGAGTGTTTTAATGTATCGGACGTAATAAGTTATTATCAAAATGAAGGCTTTAGTTGCAACTGTAATCAGCCTTGCACTCACGACTGTGGTAATCGGCAATGCCTATTACCAAAAGAAACAATTTTATCCATCAATAGTCTACCTAACAAATTCAAATCCTAGCATGGCTGTAAGTTGTCATTACCTTTATTAGAACTCTGACATCTATTGCATATGGTCCAAGTATTACAATGCATTTCACAATATTCCTAACTTTTGTTGCTAATATGATGAATGATTCTTCATAAATTCAAAGAACATTTGTATTGTACTTGCAGGTTATGTATTTACAAGCCTTTATCCTTGTTCTATTACTTGGTAAAGTGTTTAGGAGAATATTTTTTGGACAACTGCGCCCAGCTGAATTTGAGGTAAATACATTATTTTCTTTCCATTGAATTTTTAACTCAATAAATTGTATAGAATGTATATGTATAATGATAAGATGTACAACTGTATTTCTCTGCTATTACCTTTTATTTATTTACAAATTTGTTTATTCAGGTTTCTGTGGAATTTATATTCTTTCACACAATTGTTTAAAAATAAATGAATAAGTGTTTTACTTCTTATTGAAACTATTTGATTAATCACCAATGTATTAATAGAATTTTTGGAAAATTACTTTCAGCATTTAATAGAAAGATCTTGGTATGCGATAACTGAGACATGTCTAGCTTTCACAGTATTCAGGGATGACTTTAATCCTAAATTTATTGCTTTATTCACCGTGTTGCTGTTTCTGAAAGCATTCCATTGGTTAGCCGAAGATAGAGTGGATTATGTAAGTATGTTTAAGTGAAAATGGGTAATAACATAATTCATGTTGCCAAGTAGTCTTGCAAAATTAGTAATGTACACCTGTCAAGCACCATGCGACAGCTGGCTGTTGAATTCTCTTGATTTATTTTTTCTAAGGCTTGACACACATTAAATAGCTCTCAATTATGAATGATTGGTAAAAGACTATCCCAGCCTAATTGGTTACAGACAGTCGGTTTTTACTGAAGCATCAAACTGTTCCGTTAAAACTGTCAGTTGTAATTTAATCTAAGTAGTGTGCATTAAAGCCTTTTTTACTCTTCTATTTCTTTATTTTTATGTAAGATAATATAATATTGACATAACAACAAAATATTTTTTCTATTCAGATGGAAAGGAGCCCTGTGATTGGTTTGTTGTTCCATTTGCGGATCCTAACTCTACTGACGCTATTAACACATGCAGACTTTTTCTTTATCCATCACGCCTATCAATTTACGACATCTAAAGGACCGTCAGTACAACTCGTGTTTGGATTTGAATACAGCATCTTATTGATTATGATTATCAATATTGTCATAAAGGTTTGTATCTTGGATATGTGATTTTTTAGACTTTTGTTCTATGTATGAGTTTTTTTTTAATGTAAGCAACCTTCCAATACAACAGTTACATGTCTTATCAGATCTTAAGAGAAGTAACTCTTATTAGATTGGTAGAAATTATATCTTTGTATCTGAAGTTCACAAATATCACTGAATGACAATGTTATTTATTGTCTATGGATCTGTTTTGGAATGTTTTGGTGTTTAAATAAATGATAGAAGTCTGTGATTACATCCTTATAAATTGTTTAGATAGATTTGTTATGTTTTCTCATATTTATTGCCTTTGTATACTTGGAAACAACAGATTGCAGATATTTCTAGTTTTAGATGAATAAAACTTTAAGAAACATGCAATTTTAATGAGAACTTCTCTGTCCACAGTACACATTGCACACTATTGACTCTCGATGGGAGGCACCTTGGGAGAGCAAAGCTGCAGTACTACTGTACACAGAGTTGATTATAAACTTCCTGAAAGTACTACTTTATATTGGTTTTGTTGCTGTTATGGTCAGGATATATACATTGCCTCTCTTTGCGTTCCGACCAATGTATGAAACAATGAGGTAAGATATAAATTCACTATAACCCAGCGCCGGATTAGCCATATAGCAAGAGTAGCGAAGGCCTCGGGCCCTCAGAATTTGGGGACCCCATGCTCTAACGCCTGTCAGATTACTCAAAAAATGTTAATTTAAATAGGAGCGTAAAATATCTTGCATTTCTTAAACGCAAACAGCTTAGGCTATATTCCTTTCAATTTTTAGCTCCATGGTTCCTCCATAGTTTAATTTAATACCATACACTAGAGAACCTAAAGGAAATCAAGGGCCTCTTGACAGAATTTGCTACAGGCCTTGCATTGGCTTAATTTGGCACTGCTGTAACCTGAATATACTTATTTAAAAATCGAAAACGCTAGTTATAACATTTAAACACCCCCTTATATCTACACACATTAAAACACCTATAGTATACAAGGTTTTTAAATCTTGTAGATAGCTAGCTGTATGCATACAGGGTGTTTAAATATTATAGCTAGCAATCTTTTCGATTTTGATGAATGTATATTGTGTTTGTATGTAGGAGTTTCAAGAAAGCGTACAACGACGTGGTGCTGTCTCGTCGTGCGATTCGCAACATGAACACCCTGTACCCGGACGCGACGGCGGCCGAGCTCGCTGCCGCCGATAACGAATGCATCATCTGCCGAGAGGAGATGCACAGCGGTATACAAATTATTTATATATCAGACTAGTTGTTGCTCGCGACTTCGTCCACGTGGAATTAATAGCCTGTGTAACTCAGTGATAACGTAACTTTTTAATGGTGAAAGAATTTTGAAATTGATCCAGTAGTTTTTAAATAAACACATGCAAAAAAACAGAACATTCCCCTTAATAATATTAGTATATGTGTATACATAAATCTATAAATACGTATATTAGTAGTACCATCTTGAGGGAAGGCTATCTATTGTTATTTTTTTTAATAAAATATATTTTTTTTACAAAAGATGGTAGTAGTAGTAGTATAAGTAGTAGTATATCTACAAAATGATTTGAATGTGTGGTTATTTGTATTATTTCTATGTAAATTAACTCAGAATTAATATCAATAGGAGCGAAGAAGCTGCCCTGCAACCACATATTCCACGCAGCGTGCCTCCGATTGTGGTTCCAACGGCAACAGACTTGCCCCACTTGCCGGCTCAACGTACTGCGAGCGCCCGCACCAGACACCCCGCACGCGCCCGACGGCATCCCACCTGGGAATGTCCCACTCGTCAATGTACCCCTCGGCAATATTCCACTCGGCAATGTCCCACTTGGCAATGCCCCGCTCGGTAATGCGCCGCTCGGCAATGTCCCGGGCGGCAATGCGGCTGCTCCTCCCCCCGCACCGAACGTCGTGCCGCCGCCTTTCCCGAATATGCCACCGCCACGTGAGTACATGTGTATTTCAATGTTTTTCTTAAAGAAACGAAATATTTATTTTTTAAGCAAACACGTAAACGATTGTTAACAGTGAGCGAACACATACATTTAAAAATAACATTCTATTGAGAAATAAATCTAAAAAAACATTCACGATATTCAAAGTTATGTCGAAAATATCAAGTTTACATTAAACTATGTGTTAGATTAAAAAAAAAAAACAAAATAGTCTCGTAATAAAAAAAATATACTGCGATAAGAAACAGTTGCGTTAACGTTGCGTCACACTGTATTTTTACTGCACTTTAAAAATAAGAATTCCTGAATTGTAAAAGTTTTTGTACTTTATTATTTACTAGCTGTTGCTCGCGGCTACGCTTGCATGAAATTAAAAAAAAATATTAATAGCCAATGTAACTCAGTGATAACATAGCTTTTGGTGTAAGAATTTTTGAAATCGGTCCAGTAGTTATTTCAATACACACAAAAATACAAATCTTTCCTCTTTATAATATTAAGTATAGATAGTATTTACGAAAGGCACGCGGGAGATGTCGGGTGTAAACATAATATTTCTTCTATTATCTTACCACGTGCAGAGTTAATATTGAATAAATCTTTACAATTACAATGAGATTAATATCTCTTATATATATATATCTTGATAATTATCATTATGATAATATATGAGTCAATTATGACTAATTATAAAGCCAGGTGTGTGCATTAAGTAAAGCCGGCTAGTTTAATCGTGCATAATGCCTAGAAATAAAAATCCGATTTGGAAGAAATTTCATTGTAGTCGGAATAAAAATAGTGGACTTTGGGCTGTTTGTAAAAAGTGCAATAAGGAAATGCAAGGTATACTGTATCGTATGAATAGACATGTTCAGATCTGTGATGCGAATGTAGATTTTGCTGAAGATACACCTTTGAATGGTAGGTTTGTGTGTGGTTAACTGTGATTTTTATGTTTGGTTATGACACAAGGCCACACTTACTCGTTCTCTGCGTTGTTAGGATCAATAACTGGGTCAGAATAGTTAGCCTAGTGACTAACATTTAGTATCCTTGAACTAGCTAGCGCCCGCGACTGCTTCGCGTGGAATTAAAAAAAAAACAAAAGTGAGTAGCCTATGTGTTCTCCCAGGCTATCCTTTACATCTATACCAAATTTCATCGAAATCCTTTCAGCAGGATTATTCCTAACCGCCACCCCGCTTAGTCCCCCGTGGAGACAGAAGAGAATAAAAAGTTTCATTCGTCCCACTTTTTGCGACGAGGTAACAGTTGGAACTTTTTATATTTCATAACTCTAACGAACATCCGTCTATCTAAACTTTCGCATTTATAAAATGGCAACAATAAATGAGGTTGTTATAACAGCAATGATGGGGTGGGGCTTGCCCCCGCCGCCCCCGCGCCCCGCCTCGCTGGCCACGCTCAGCGCCGCGGAGCTGCAGCGCATGGAGGGACACGAGCGCAGGAACATCGAGGCACGACTACAGGTTAGTCAAACAAGATAAATCCTACAGTCTTTGGCTATTAATGGAATAATTAACCATGTTATACCAATCTGTTATATTAATTAACTACCTTTTCTCGACAGCCTTCATCTGCATGAAATAATTAGTTGGCTATTAATGGAATAATCAACCAAAATGTCATGTCAATTAACTAACCTATTCTTGTTGGGTACATCCGCATTAAATTATGTAGACTCTATTTTCTTGTTTGCATTTGTGAAATTCTCAAATGCAAATGTCGAAATTCAAATGCAAAATGACTGCGAAGGTTTTTAACATTGCATAACAATTACAGTTGCCACGGCAACCTTGGTTCTATGATGTCAGCTTACAGTTTACTCCCTAAGCCTAACAGCGTGAAAATATATTAAAGCTTATCGTAACTGTAGGGCTTTCTATAAAAAGAGATTTGTTAAAAAAATATACTGTGATTGCTGACATCTTACTTAACTAAGTAGTATGTGTTTACGCTTTATTACATAAGTATAGATATATAGTATAATATAGATATGTAAGATGTGACAAAGATATTGTTTGTTGACCAGCTGCTGCGTGAGATCCAAGCGATGTTGGACGCGTCTGTGCTGCTGATGCAGCAGTACTCCGCCGTCGTCGCCAACCTGCCCCAGAACAGCGCCAACGTCGCCACACAAACAGACACTATGTAGGACCCTTTTTATTACTACTTTAATGCTATTTATTCAAATGTTCATAAAATAGCTAGTTGT